CGCAAGGACCAAGAGGTAGAGAAACTTTATGAAGAAGTAACACAGTGTCTAGGTGAGAACAACACAAAATACCAATACGTAAGTTATGAGACATTTGAATGGAAATATAGGCCAGGATGTCACCGACTCATGTTACATTGGCAAATTCGGACATGGTACAAGAAATGAAAGAGGCAATATGCTTATCAACTTTTTAGAAAGAGAGCAACTCTCTGCGATAAACACATTCTTCAAAAAGAGACCTAACCTAAAATTGACACGGGCAAGCCCAGATGGAAAGACAAAAATGACATCAAAAACAGATAAACCAAGATGTAAATGAGTTAGGCTCATTCACGACTGGCAGAGATTGAGAGAATGGTAAGATGTAAGATAGTCATACATGGCAGACTAGAAAGAGCAAAGAAATTCAACAGCTCTAGCCCCCAAAAGAAATTAGGCACACATTCTAGCAAAACAGAAAGAGCATAATTCGCAACAAAATTAACACAACAACTGGAAAAAGACCCCATGAAACCCCACGAAGACATAGATCAAATTGACAAAATAATAACGAGAATAATAAAAGAAACAGCAAAAAATATCATGAAATCGAAGGGTAGGCAAAAAAATTTAGCAATGAAACAAAACAAATTCTGGAAAAGAGAAGAGGACTCATAAAACAAGGCAAAAAGCAACAACTAAACTAAAATAACAAACAAGAAACCGATAGCGAAGCATCAAAAATTCTAAATGTTGAGTCAGAGCCAAAGGAACAACATTGGAAGAATAGAGGGTTTCATATATCTGCAGAAAACCTCAATCATTTTAGATTCGCTGATGACATCGTAATATTCGCCCCGAACGAAACAGACTTAGAAATCATGCTGAAAGAATTTCTCCAAGATGCCAAGAAGATCGGATTAGAAATGAACGTATCAAAAACACAGTTTATGACAAATGCGCAAACAGATAGGAATCAATATCCATAGAAAACCAAAAATAACACTTAACAAACTCAAAGTCAATCGAGAACTTGAAATGAATAGGAAAATACGAGTGGGATGGGAGGCGTATGGTAAAATGCGCCACATATTCCAAGTTACCTTCAAAGCTGAAAACTAAAATCTGCAACGAATGTATTCTGCCAGTAGTTGCCTATCGAGGCGAAGCATGGACGCTCATAAAAAAAAAATCCTATCAGAAAGCAGCCGAAAGGAGAATAAAAGGTATTACACTAGAGATCACAAGACCAACCAGTGGATAAGAAACACAACAAAGGTCGAACACATTACACATAGAATATACACCCTCAAATAGACCTGGGCCGGCCACGTAGCGAGAAACACAAGCAACAACTGGAGCGGAAAGCTAACAAGATGGAGACCCTGGAAGGAAAGGAAGAAGCGTCGGCAGCAAGCGAACAGCAGGACTAAACTGGTACCAGGTCGCACAGAATAGAAATACCAGGCAAAATCTGAGAGAGGCCTATATATAAAGGATAGAGAACGGATAGGAAGAGAAACTTCTTATAGTAAGTAGGACATTCAACGCGTCAAATGTTTAACGCTTCCGAAAAGGGGGGACGTAGACAACGAGCCGTAGGAGACAGAGAAGTGAAACACTCTATAGCGTGAGCAATAAAGATACAGAGTTAGTGCATAAGCCTGCGAGAACCGTACTAGGCAGGCTAGCACAGGTGTATAATAAGGATAAAGAATCTATACGTGGAAGGGAAATAAACACACAGCGTTTTTCGGGTAGCGTATAGCGGAATAAGGACCGACGATTTTGCATTGTCTATTTTCTTTTCTTCTGATACACTGAATGACGCAATACTATGCTATTACCATTTCTAGAAATATTAGTACCACTAACCTCTTCTTTTCTACGCACAGACATAATAGCATATCACCTATTCATAATAGGCACATCATATTTGCTTACACTTCTATCATGCGTGGTGGCACACTAACATTTTCTCCTTTTTTCAAGATTTTTTTTTAATGCTCGTAAGAGTTAACACATCTTCTTTCTCTTGCTAATGGCTTCTAGAGATATAGAATTTAAGAGGGATTTGGAATGGAGACAATTTGGCTCATAAATCATAGGTAACAAGAGTTCACCGATTATACCTATTTTTTTATAGCGTAATAAAGGACGCAAAATAGCGATGTACTGAGTTTCCGCTTAGTAGAACAATGCTTCAATTCGACGCCGTCATGTTTTGGAACAATTTAATAATGAGAAATTCGGCATCCTCGCGTTCAAATAAGGGATACTGTTCCAAAAATCCCAACGAGTAGTTGATTTTCTTTCCCAAAACGTAAGAATTTTCGCAGTACTCACCTGCTAAACCGATTCGATACAAACAGCGAACACAGCAGGCTGGTGAGAGCATTCCTTAGTTTCAAACTTAAAATCGAAAAAATCAAACTCATTCGCTCAAACAAATCTCCTACAGTTGGAAAACTTAAGTGAAGAAAAACGGGGTATCAATAGGAATTTGGAAAGACACAAAGCAAAAGGACTCTGAGAGACACATCAGACTATGAAATATAGCTGAGCAACTCAAAGACTTCTAGACTGGTCTATACATCCCTATTATTCCCTATAAAGCTTGATCCAAAAGTTATACGAGCGCGGTTATTAGTGGACTCTGAAGAAGTCGCACAAATATTAAAACATGAAATATAGGCTTCTCGGAAGCAAATAAAGAACAGAGAAAGACCAAACCAAATCATCTGCTAAATGCTAAAAATAGGGGTCATCGACAAATCTCTTTGAACTCTTTTAAATAAATGTCTACAAGAAGACATAATTCCATATGCTTTGGCGAAACGTGAAAGTTATTTTACTTTCTAGAAGGAAGATAATAATGATAAGGAAAATTACCAATCATCTAGCCTTTTTTTCATTTACATAAACTCCAATAGTCAAATTTATTGGCATATCATCACGTAGAGCAAACAGGATACCGCCGGGGGTTCCGGGTTCAGCTCAATTGATTACCCACAAATTTCAGAACTCTAATAGAAAAAAAAAGAACAACTTGGTCTTTATTTTATAGACTTTCAGGAAGCGTTAGGCTCTGTTGAGACCTGTGAATTGTCATAGAAGCTATGGAAGACCTAGAAGAAATTTTCGATATAGGTACAAACCTCTTTGAAAATGTATACGAAAAAACCACTTCTTACGACAAAAGACATGAAAACAGACTAAATCAAAGTAAAAAGGAAAGCCGTTACAGAACGTGTTAAAGTCATTGAAGAGTGGACAACTAAAGGCATAAAGATCAACGGGTTCTACTTGAATATCTTCGATTTTCCAATGATATCCTTCTGATAGATAGTACATATTGTGGCGCCTTCGCCATACAGTACAGAATCTAACTTGAAATCTAGAAAATACTGCTTTATTCGGACAAAGAGATTATCGCGTTTATTCTTGATTTTACAAGAATGGATTACAAATATATGAAGGCTGGTATTAGTAAGTAGTTTCAAGTTTAGGATTGGCTGTGATACGGTTTAGATAGTGATTATTGTGAAAGTTGTAAAGAGTTAAGTTGTTTGAGTTATTTATTGAAGTAATTTTTGTCAGAATGTGTAGTAACTTGCAATAAATCATTGTTATGTTAATTGGACTTTGATTTTGGAATAAACGATCCCAATATTTCTGTCACGCACCCCAGAGCTGTAACAATATACCAAAAGAAGAGTTTTCGATACTTCGAAAGGACCGCGAATAGGCTTGAAGCAATGTGTAATGCAGAGAGAACATGTTCACAAACAAAAACCCTAAATGAACTACCAAAGGAAAAAGGATCAATTACGAAACATTATACTGCCAGATCCGGCTTATCATTCTTATGACTGGATTAAAGGAAGCTAGACTACAAAATGAACTTTCAGCAAAGCAAAAATGATTACTTTAAACCTAAGAAATAAAACAAGTGGATGAGACATTAGGTGAAAATCAATAGGACTAACAGACTTGCAAAATACCTAGCTACCAAAAAGAGTGACTGGTGATAGACAGACGGTACCTATATATTTAGGACCAATGATATTTTGAGGAAATAGGCGTTCAGCCAATATGTGCTGCTCGTAGGTCTTGGTAGAGAAAAAACCATAGCTCTTACAAGTATTTAGTACCAAAATGCTAGGACAGAAAAAAAAATCCTTATTTTAGGAGTTATTTTTATATAATTATATATTTGCTATAAAAGGTTGCATTAGAAGATCGAGTTCGCAATGGGCCAGACATACCAAACAGGTAAAACACAAGAGACGAAACATTTAGATCCTCGAATGGAGACTTAGAATCGACAATAAAAAATAGGAAAATCATCGACACGATCGACTGTAGAATTTTAAACGCTTAAGGCTCTTCCTAAATTGAAGTAAATGATTATGATGATGAGGATTAATTTCTAATAATATGCTATGCTATACATCAATACAACAAAAGTGTAGTTATGATATTCTGGAAAGCTCTGTCTAGTAAAAAAACTAGGATATAAAAATTAAATTTAGAAAAATCTATAACAAAGTACATCTATGCATTATGCAAACATACTTTCTTTCTTACTGATTTATTATTGTTTATTGTGTTAGTCCGAGAGCATATTATAGTATAGGTAATCAGATTTTTAACACAGAGTATTATTAGCATGTATTACATCATAAGGATCTACGGGTTACTATGAGGCGTTGCAAAAACAAAATAATGAAATAAATTACGCCGGGAATTCATCCAAAAAAAAGAGGATTTCTTTAATTTTCATATAATTTTTTACCTTTTTAAGACTTTCGCTCTATCTTCTAGGCCAATGTCGGAAAATATAAATAACGGAATGATTTTTTTTTAAAACTTTTTCCAATTTTTAATTTAAGTACTTAGGTTTACCTCTGGTGAATGTTTTTCAAAGCTTGGCACATTTCTATAAACATCAAATAAAGATCTTTTCCTCAGGGTAAAAAAAATGTGCAAATTTCCAAAATTTCAAAAATTCTTACCTCCTCTGTAGGAAGTGCAAAAACACTAGCCAACAAGCCCAATAAAATGAATAGACTTTTCATTGTGCTAATATTGTAAGGACTAAAGGAGCACAATTTCGTTTCTCAAAAATCCCTTTTATATACCAAATTCGACGATCCATCGATTTTCTAGACTTAAGCCTAGACATTTATAATCGCTTTTTTTTAGAAGTACTTACATAATCCCCTAAATATATTTTTAATAATAAAATCCGCAGTCGAATTATTTGTTTTATTTATTGAGAGTTTTGTTCTTGTCATGATTATCTTGAGTTGTGTAATAAATTAGCGTTAATTGTTCTGGAACATTATAATTTTGAATTAGCGACGCTGTTCTTTCGACATATTTGAAGAAAATAGATAAATAGGTACCTACCTAAAACTAATATGCAAGCTCCAAATTAGTTAATGCCCATTTCTATAAATGAAAAAATATATATTTTTTTTAAAGATGTAAAAATTCTTGACTGGCTTGTTTAATGGTGAGATGATTCTTGGGATACAGTCTTGGCATAAATAAAACTACTTAAGCTGGGTTCTAACAGAAATTTAATTTAATTTTATATTAACATAATTTAAGATTTAATATAATTTTACTTTGTGGCGTTCATACAGTAATTTTGTAACTGATATAGAAAAATGTCATTATCCGTCATCTGCCTTGTCATACTGATGAAAATCAATGATCAACCTCAAATTTAATTTAATTTAATTTTGAAAGATAAAAGTTGGCCAACTTTTAAATTAAGTTATATTATGTCTTAAATTAAAATTTTGTATGAACGCCATCATATGGAGTTCACGAAAATTTGCGTTAGGTTTTCGAAAGTTTAAAGAGCAGCGGGACTGTAGGCGCTAAATTCAATTTTGCCGCACAAATATTAATGGACATAAACCCGAGCCATACAAAGACAATGGAGGATTGGCACTTACTTGGTTTATGCTGGTTTTCGTCGATCCAGGGGAGCTCCTCGTGTCCAGAAAGTCGGCTTCTCAGCGACACACCAATACAACACAGTCTTAGAAATAATAATAAGGAATTTTTGCCTTGAATTCGATAGGTTTTTTGATTTTTGATAACGACCGAAAAAGCGGACGTGGTTTTAGAGACACGGCTTCGTACTGCTTCCTGCTTCCTTCTCATAAATCACATATTTTTCACATGCGCCGAGTCTGCGCGAACGGTGCCAATTTTGATTTGAACTTGTATGGCATTTAACGGTTTTTTTCTTTCGTAATTTTTGAATGAATATATAAAATAACAAAGTTGCATGAACATTAACCGCCCACTTAAAACGGAGTTTTACGTTGAATAAATGAGAGGAAAAAAATATATACAATACTAATAATAATAATAAAATAGAGTGAAATGGAATAAAACTACAAAAACAAAACACAACACAAAGAGATTGCTTATCTGAGTTTAACGCGAATCTAATAACAAAGGGCACAACTTTACCACTGGACGAGTAAGAAGCCCGTGCTGTGTTTTTACTGTAGCAATTCTAACGTGACCATCCGGACCAGGATGCACGGTTACTATTCTTCCCAGTGACCATTGCAATGGTGGTCTGGATTCATCCTTGATTAACACCAAAGCGCCAAGCTTAATTTCGACGGAAGGATGGGACCACTTGCAACGTTGTTGCAAGGTGTTAAGGTACTCGTTTTTCCAACGCTTCCAAAAATCTGAATGAAGGCGTTGAATAAGTTGCCAACGATTTAAAGTGTTCATTTTGAGGGAAGAAAGGTCCGGATCAGGACAAGAATTTAATGGTTCTGTGGTCAGAAAATGACCAGGTGTCAGTGGTGACAGGTCATTTGGGTCTGAACTCTGTTCCCAGAGAGTTCTCGAGTTGAGACGAGCCTCTATTTGTGAGAGAAGGGTATAGAGTTCTTCGAAAGTTAAGATTTGGTTGCCAATTACGCGATATAAATGAGTTTTGACAGATTTGATTCCCGTTTCCGCTAAGCCATTTAGGTGGGGAGCCCCAGGACTATTCAGGTACCACTTTATGTTCAGACTTTCCGCAGCTAATCTTGACAGGTTTTGGAGTTCTTTAATAGCTCCGACAAAATTGGTTCCTTGATCACTTACGATTTGAACGCAAGTGCCACGTCTAGCTACAAAGCGTCGTAACGCTGCATTGCAAGCTTCCGTAGTCAAGCTTGAAACTAACTTCATGTGGATAGCTTTGACACAAGAGTCGACAAACACCGCAATATACGATTTCGTGACTTGCGCTCCACGACGTCTTTGACCTACAAAGGATTTTATCTCGGATTTTATTTGACCAGCATAGTCCAGACAAACGTGGGAGAAACACTTCAGCTGGGAAGTTCTGAAATCGGGTAGATCTGCCATATAGGGTGTGTATGATTTTGGTTTTGAACGAGCGCATCGAATGCATTGGGATAAGACCCTTTGAATTGCTTTACGCGCAGATATGATCCAAAATTTTTGGCGAATAAGATACTGCACTGTATTAAGCCCAGGGTGCAGATTTTCGATATGAGTTTGAGTTATGATTAAATTGGTAAGATGATGAATTTTGGGTAATAATAAGGGATGTTTCGCCTCAAAAGAGAGCTGAGAATGCCTTAATCTACCGCCCACTCTGACTAAACCCGACTCATCTAAAAACGGTGCGAGCTTGCGGTACGGCTTAGGTAATAATTCATTATTTTGTTTTTTCGAAATTATGTCTGGAAAACACTCTACTTGTACCTTTTTGACTAAAACAAACAAGGCTTTGTGCAATTCGAAAGCTGCAAAGAGTCCCAAGATTGGATTTTTCAGGTTTTTTCGATAATGAATAAGTCTTAGAAAATGGCAAATAATTTTTTGAATTAGGGTTAGGTTAGAAAACTTACTTATTAGATTGTCGAAAAAGTTTGGAGTATGTGATTCTACCATTAATACGGTATTATTAAGTGGCTTTTCCTCTTTTATGACTTCATCAGGTGTTTCCTCGGAAAATTCCTCTACGAATTTCTTTATTTTCCACTCGGAAGTTGGCAGGATTACCCAAGGCGGACCATGGAACCATAGAGGATGATTTATTAGACTGTTTGGGGTTAGGCCTCTGCTGGCACAATCGGCCGGGTTTTCGAGTGAAGGAATATGGTACCAAGGAACTTGAATGGTTTCTTGAATGTGACTGACGCGGTTCGCTACAAAAGTTTTCCACTTGTGAGGAGATGAGGTAACCCAATGCAGCGCAACACGTGAGTCCGAAAATGCAAGAATTTCATCGATTAGGATCAGCGAAGAATAATTTCGGATAACTAATTCGAGCAAATCAGCTAGCAGGGTGGCTCCAAGAAGCGCCAAACGAGGAAAGGATTTTGTATGAAGGGGAGCAACTCGTGATTTCCCAGCGACTAGTGATGATTTGATAATATTGTTAGGTAGCTCAACACGAATGTACACGCAACAGGCATATCCTAGTTCTGATGCGTCACAGAAACCTAACAATTGACAACGTTGAATTTTATTCGGAAAAATGTGTCTAGGTAGACAGATACTCGAAAGATTATTTAATTGATTACTAAATTGCTTCCAAAGGGTAGTGATCGATTCAGGGGGTGTTTCATCCCAGTCAATATTGCATAACCAAAGCTTTTGCATTATAACTTTCGCAAAAAATGAGACCGGAGATAAGAAGCCGAGAGGATCCCAAATTTTTGCAATAGCGGATAGAATGCTTCTTTTAGTGCAAGTTTTTTCGGATGGGGTGCATAAGTAGGTGAATGTGTCGGTTGAAAGGTGCCATTGAAGGCCCAGAACCTTAATAGAGGCGGAGCTATCATTCTCGAAAGTTATTGGGATTTGGCGATCCGATGGGGACAAATGAGAGATGAGTTTAGGGTTGTTTGATGCCCATTTACGGACTTCAAATTTTCCTAATTTGAGCAAGGTGATTAGATCTCTCTGAAGCGATAAAGCGCCCTCTAGGGAGCTAGATCCGCAGCAAATATCGTCCATGAAAATGTTGTTAAGCAATACTTGGGAAGCTTCAGGAAATGTTTGACTTTCACGAGTGGCGAGTTCTCTAAGGGTTCTAATTGCCAAATAAGGGCTTGAACTTATACCAAACGTAACAGTATTCAACCGGTATTCCTGTAAGGGTTCGCTGGGATGAAAGCGCCAAAGTAGTCTTTGGTAATCTCTATGAATTGGGTTCAGTTGGATTTGCAAAAAATGTTGCTTGATATCAGCTAGAAGTACGACAGAATAGAATCTAAATTTGAGTAGAATTTCGCAAATATCATTTTGCAATTTAGGTCCCGTTAAAAGGGTTTCGTTTAGGCTTGTGCCATTTGATCCTTTAACGGAGGGGTTAAAAACCACCCGGAGTTTTGTGGTTGATTTATCCAAACGAAGCACTCCATGATGCGGTAAATAGCAGCATAGATTTGGCCTAGATTCGGTTTTTGGGATTAAAGACATATGACCGTTTTTGAGGTATTCGCTCATAAAATCAGCATACAAGCTATAAAGACTAGGATTTTTTAAGAGTCGAGCTTCCAGCGACATGAATAAACGATAGGCTATTGAATAGGTATCTCCAAGGTTAGGAGGGTCGATGTGACGAAATGGTAAATTGACTGTAAAACGACCAGATGTATCCCTGGTGGTTGTCTTTTGGTAAATTTCTTCACACCTTTTTTCTTCGGGCGATAGAAAAGTTTTGGGTTTGATTGCCTCTAGTTCCCAGAATTTTCGGATACTTGAATCGAGAGATTGCTCACATGAGATGAAATATGAGCTGACATGGGGTTGAATATCTATATTTTGGGTTTGTCCCAAGAATACCCATCCAAAGATGGTTTCAAAGGCAGAAGGTTGACCTGGTGGTCCTTGAATCCTCCCTGTCCGAAGAATTTCGGTGAATATTGGTGCTCCTAATAGCATGTCTATGGGAGCAGGAATGTTGAATTGGTCATCAGCAAGCTTTAAGTTGGAAATGTGACTCCAAGTTGAAAAATCAATTTGCATTGAAGGCATATTTGCACAAAGTTTTGGCAGGATGAAAACTTGAATATGAAAGGTAGGTTGGGTTTGACCTAAAGGTC